AGAGTTCTTTTCAGATGGGAAGGGGAAGTAGAACTCCTTAGCATCAGAGCGTGTTAATTGCTGTATAAGAAATACTAATGATCCGATGGTCATTTCGAAAAATCCTTTCTTAGCGAGCATCTAGAAGCCCTGAAGAACATATGTGCAAAATTTAAAGTTTGTAGGCTTTAATGTTCTGGAGATTTCATGATAAGTGAGTGGTATTTGGCTTTTATAAACTGGCAGTTTTATTTTTAATCTCTTTCCTTATGATCACCAACATAAAGGAATGTATCTTTTCCACCATAAATATATACAAACATTTTCATCAAACGTTAAACCACTACTCATCCACAGCAGCAGCTCTTCAGATTCCCATCAATTCATTGAAACTTTCTACTTTTTTTTTATATTGAATGGCTTTGTCTGTACCTATTCTCATTTCCCAAGCTTGGAGAGTTAGACGTTTGATGCTTCCTCACCAGTTCTTTCTCTTTTAAACACTCTAACTGATTTGGTATCATTAGCAACTGTGATAGCTACACTGCTCACTCTTCACCATGTATGAAGAAAATGAAGATCTGATCTTGTGGAATATCTCTGCAAAGCCTCAAACAGCTGCATTTGTGCAAGACCTATAGAGGAAGAAAATGGCTCTATGTATCTTCTTTCTTTTGCTCAAAAGTTTCCTTAATAGGAAATTATGTCCAACCCGTGCTAACAGAGAGAAGCATTCCAATCCCTGATGTAAACCACTGAGTTCTCCCTTTGATTTGAAGTGTAAATACTGCCTTTTATAAAAAGAGCTTTTTATAAATGGCCCAGTGCCACTCCAACATCATTAGTCATAGCCTTGTAGCTGCTCTTCTGGTTTTGTTCTTTCCACAAATGTGATCAACTCTTAAACAGTTTTTTAAACTCAGCCCACCTTTATATTATAATGTTGTTTCAATATAAATCTATACTGAGGCAATATAGAACAGGCACTGGAGGCTCAATTTCAAGGGGAAAAAAGATGGGGTAAAGATGCCTTCAAGTGGGTCTTCTGTAGTAAACTAATTTTTCTGCTTGTAAATCTAGGTTTGTTTTGTTTGATCAATACAGAAAAACTGCCCATCATGTTTTGTTTAAAATAAATTATAGAGGCCAATGCTGTAGGTATGTTACTATGGGGTGGGGGTAGAGTGCTTTGCATAAATCTCTTTTAAGCTGCTGGTCCATACAATTCAATATGTCTATGGTTCCAATGTCTTGTTGCACCAATCTGACAAAACTCTTTCAAGGGCTTGTTTTCTGCAGTTTTAAGAAAAGGAATGTTTGGAACATTGCTAGTTAATCAACACAGGACTTGCCATCAATGCTGCAAACCCAGGAGCTCGCTCTTAGGCATGCAATGCCATCTGTAAGATCCAGTTGATCTCTCTGCAAATACATGGATTCTTGTGGTAATTAAACAATCCATGTATTGCATTTAATTCAGAACTGAATTAAAAAGAATTCTATTATGGATTTTTCTGAGAACAAATTTTGGAAGCTCTATCCTTAGCAGATCTATGGTGAAATTAATACTGATAGAAATGAAGTTGCTATTTTGCTAAGTTGCTATGTCTTAAAAGTAGAGGTAAAGTTTCCTCTTGCACATATGTGCTAGTCGTTCCCAACTCTAGGGATTGGTGCTCATCTCCGTCTCAAAGCTGAAGAGCCAGCGCTGTCCGAGGACGTCTCCCAAAGGTGGTTCCTATTTTTCTACTTGCATTTTTACATGCTTTCGAACTGTTGGCAGAAGCTTGGACAAGTAATGGGAGCTCACTAGGGATTCGAACTGCCGAATTGCCGATCTTTCTGATCTATGAGCTCAGCGTCTTAGCCACTGAGCCACCATGCCCCTATTTTAGTGTCTTAGTTGGTTTTTAATGGGGGAGGGGGTTGTATTTATTACCTGGTCTTTATTTTTTTAGTATACATTGTCCATGTTGAGCATCCATCTAACTGTTTCAATGCAAGACATTTGTTCTTCTGCAGAAAAACATAGATACACATAGAGATTATATTTGCTTTATAATGCAAACTACAAGTTTTTTCTATCTTTCTTTAACCTTTAAGATGTTTTGGGTATTTAAAACTGTGCCAGCCCTTTGCACGCTGTAAGGATCTTCTCTACCCATGTCACAATTCAATACAATATTCTCATGGTTATTCCAAGAACACCAAGGAAGGAATGGTTGCATGGAAGCAAATTAAGCTCTTTATGGTTAAACATGGAAGAGATATCTTGACCACCTCATGCAGTTTTTAAAAATGTAAATATGATCCCATAACATCTTTATTTAATTTAGGGGAAAATTCTGAAGATCTGTTTTTAAAAAATCCATGGAAAATTATATCAAAGAAAAATTCTGCTCTCAAAGTTGAACAGATTAAAAAAAGCAGATCCACACCAGTTTATCCAGGCCTAACTTTAAAGTAGTTAACAGTGCTAAATATAATACTAGTATTTAATGATGGATAAGTGTCTAAAAACCTCCCATGCTGGAGCATCTACAACTTCTGGAGGCAAGTCATTCACCTGATTAATTGACGTAACTATCAGGAAATTTCTCCTTAGTTCTAGTTTGCTTCTCTCCTTGATTAGTTTCCATCCACCAGTTTTTGTCCTGTTTAATTTTAATTTAATTTAATGTTTTAATTTAATGATGTTCTTTTGTAGTTGTTTATTCTTTAATATCTCAACATTCATTCTTTTTTTTCTTTGCAGTGTTGCTTCTACTTTCTTTTACATATTATGTACTGTACCCCAGTCTTCTGCCAAGTCATGCATACAGCATTCACCCTAATTTCAATTTAAGAGAAAGCAGGAAGCATTAAAATATAGCTCACAATGATATTAATAGTATTAAAGTACTTGAATGTACAGAAATTTTACATAAAATGGAAAGCAATTTTAATTTTGGTTTTGTTGTAATACCCCTATCTTCCTTCTTTATTCTGTCCTCCTACAGCATGTAAGTCCTAATTAAATCCCAAGCATATTTGGTCTGTGATCATGGTAGGATATACTCATTGATCGAAAGGAGTTGACTCCTCTTAAATTGAGCAGTGCTGCCACTGCATTCTGTTCTATTGGCAGTAAGATAACTACTTGAGCCTACAGAGAGGTGAACATTAAAATGTCTAAGCCCTCACAAAGCCTCCCTTGACCTAAACCTTGGCACAGCTTGCGTATGGTTTCGTTATACCCCCCCACCCCCAAGGATAATTCACATGCATGTTTCTATTTCATCCTTGTCTATTTTTTGAAATGTAAATTCCCTTTAAAAGGCATGTGACGTACTGGCTTGAAAGGCCTTGGACACTTTTGATTTTTAATATCATGATGACTTAATAGCAACCATCCACATTCCTCTGAAATCTTGCAAGCAGTGTCTAAGCTCTTCTTTATAGTTTTCTGAACTGTTGATTCCTATGCATTGTGGTAGAACATGAACCTAAGATTCAACTTCTGACATATCCTATTACTGTAAAAGACTGCAATAACCACTAAAAACGATTTGTTAACCAATGAAGCAGAAAACAACTAACAGTCCCAGAAAAAAATATGTCCAGTTCAAGTTAGAAGAACTAATGTAAAAACAAAATGATTTCTCTCAAATTGAAAAAATAAACTCAACTGAACTTCTCTAAAAACTTTCATTTTTATTTTATTAGGTTTAGAAACCAACTGACTCCAAAATGATTCTAGAAGACTCACAATTTAAAACAGGCAGCATTATAAAAATGCACAATACAGCATAAATATATAACATCCATCCGAACAATGCACTACTGTATACATACAGAACATGACCAGCAAGGAGGCAAAAAGCTTATTGACCACAGCTGTAACTTACTCTTTGAGTAAAAGCTGTGAATTCAAGATGACCCCAGACAGTGCACAAATCTTGAATGGGGAACTACAATCCCATCCACGATTCAAGACAGAAAAGACCCAGATCATGAGGACTATAATAACCATAGCCACTCAGTCTTGCTAGAAATACGTGAAAGGTGATTTCTATCCATCCAGATCTGTCCATGCTGGCTGGGAAATCCGGGAGCTGAAGTCTACATACGTTAAAATTGCCAAATTGAGAAATAATATAAATTGATGCTGTGATTATAGTTGCATACCCCCGATTAGTTCAAAATTTTATTTGAAACAAATCTGCTAAGATCTTTGTTTAAAACATTGGAAAAAATGCTGCTAGGAAGAGGGGACAATAAAGAGTCAAGATTTGCCTTGGCAAAAAACCTAAATAATTTGAAATATTGGTTTGTTTTCCCCAAAAGCCCTGTTCCCCTATATCCGTGATGGTGAACCTATGCCATGCATGCCAAATGTGGCACGCAGAGCCCTCTCTGTGGCATGCGTGCCATCACCAGCTTCTCTTCTGGGTTCCAGCATGTGCCTGCACACGGGACCAGCTTTCTGGCACGCATGCACGTGATGGAAACTGGAAGAGCAGCTGGCTCTCTTCTGGATTTGGCACTCCAGTTTCAGCACTCAGTGCCAAAAAGTTTAACCATCACCACCCTATATTAAATACATCTTGACCTGGATGTAGGCAGCGTGGCATAAAGCTGAATTATAATACAAGACATACAGTTTCTCATTCTATTATCTTTCCAAATTTCTCTATCACTATTAATGGGTGACATATTAAACACCCTGGATGCAAAAGGCTTTATTTCCTTTCCTAGATGCAGATAGTTAATTTCTGGAAAATTTATATTTTCTGAGGATCTCTAAGTTGAAGCCACTACAAATGGAAGTTCAGTTTAATAAGTATTTTAGGCTCGATCAACAATTGCAAATAGAATTCAATTACAAAAGGGTGCTGGATGGCGTTTCAACTGCATATCCACCCAAAAATTCCAAGTTCATGATCCTTACCTAGAAGCTGCAATCTCAGATTTCTGCCTGGCGATGGCTGCTGCTCTCTGAGCACCTTCTATGTTCCGGTCCACTTTCTGCCTTATCTTTGCACTTTTTAGAGGTATTACCCGTTTCTTCATGCCTTTGATCAATACGTTCATGCGGTATTTTCCTTCTTCCTTTTTCCCATCAGGCAATGTGGTACAACCATATCCATGCCGCACGTTATCCAGCCACTCACCCTCATACTTCAGGCCACTTGATCTCTCACTTATGCCAAAACCTGAACGTTTGTCATTCTTCCACTCTCCCATGTAGGATTCTGTGGTGGTGGCATCAATATCAGCATCAAAAGGTGGGAAGTCCTCTCCTTCTACTCCTTCTCCCAGACTGGCGGTGGAGGTAGCATCACTACCTGTAGAACTCATCCCACTCTCACTCTTAAGGAAACTGAGTCGACTCCTTTGGCTGGCCAAAGAGGTCTTGGAGTCAGATTTCTTGATTTTCCCAAACAAGGAGCTCCTCTTGAAGATTCCCCCCTTCTTTAATTTCCCAGCATCAGCATCTGCATACAAGCTGAGAGCAAAGCCACCCCGAGTTATGGTGGGTGACATGGGAACATGTTCCTGGTTTGCTGATGGCAAATCGTGTTGTAGCAGAGTGCCATTGCTGTGCTCACTCCGTAGGGATGTAAGGGAGGTTCTTAGAGGGTTGCGGACCACAGCTGCAATGCCATATGGGACACTTTGACGAACTCCATAACCGTGGCGCATGCCATTGGTGAACTGGCCTTGATAGGTACCTGGAATCAAAAGTAAGAACTAAGTCAAATACATCAAATTTCTCTGGAATGAATATGAAAGGATAGCTGTTCAGGCAGCCACAGCACAGCATCTTCTCATACAAATGGTTTCTCATTGCAGGAAAACTGTACTTATTCCCAGTCAGAGAGAGCTATAACGTCTTTCCAGTCAGCAAATATAATTTTTCCATCCCCTCTGAGATTAAACCTAGCATCGGTACACAGCTTCTGCTGAGGGTGATATTCATTAACGGCATATATAAAACAAATCACTAATGAGGGCAAGGTTTGCAAATCTGGCCAATAGGTGGTAATTGTTCTAATCCTTTGCTTTTTTAAAAAAAAGAATATCAGTATAAAGAGTTTGATTTTCTATTAAACAATGAAATTGTCTAACTAGATCATCAGTATTAAACAATACTCCTATTCAAATTGACTTACTATCTGGCATGGCAAATATGGGTTATGGGGAAAATAGAGCGCATTGGCAATTTCTTTTCATAGGTGTACATTCAAGCATGTACACTAGGGACTAAAATAGAGGTAGTCAACTTAAATAATGTGTTTCTAAAGTGCAGGAAAAAGGGGGAATTTATCTTGAAATAGGAACTTTTGGAAAGTAAATCATCTCAAAATAAAGTAATATTTTATCACACACACACAAGATTACTTGCTCTTCATTTATAATATTACATGTAAGGGTAGGGGAAATTTGAAGGTCTTTTCATTTTATTAGTTTAGTCTCTGAATTCAAATAATGAATTTTACTAACTTTCATTACCCGGGAATAAAGTGGGATACAAATAAATACATTCTAAAGTTCATTTCTGATATCACAAAGAAAAGAGTGTTGGCTCCAACATACTGTCCACTTATTGTTTCTGTGTATTGTTTACTTTTGGCTTTAATAACTTTAATAATTTTTACATGTGGACTTCAACTCCCGGATTCCCAACCCAGACATTCTTCTGGAAATTAATTCCACTCACTTTAAAACTGCAAAGGTTAAAAAAAAGCCCACTGCATTAGATAATTCCCTCACTGCTATTCCCTTCTACCTTTCTCTTCCAGGAAAATGACTGCCAACTTTCCTATAGGAGAGGTTTACTTAATTCTTAGACTTATATTTATGATGTGTGTGTGTGTTTGTATATAGTGTTTGGGTGGGTGTGTTTGTCACATATAGATAGATAGAGATAGAGATAGAGATAGAGATAGAGATAGAGATAGAGATAGAGA